TGTTGCTCTCAGTGTCTGTGCTACTGGTGTTCTATTTAGGAAGTGGTCTCCTGGGCCTCCGCATTCAAGTGTACTTCCCACTGTCTCTTCTATGAGGTTCAGTGTGGATGGATTTATATTGAGGTCTTTGATCCATTTGGACTTGAGTTTTGTGCATGGCCCCTTTGGCACTCTTACAGACATGAGATCTGGGTCTGGAAAAAGATGACAGAATTTCCAGGAGGTCAATAGGCCATAGCAGATTTCCACATGACTCTCCCCAAATTCCCAAGTAGCTATGCATTCATTCCACAAATATTTGCTAAGGGCTGGTCCTGTGCAGGCAGCAGCGTGTGCTGACAATTGAGTAAAACAAACAAGTCACACTGTCGGGGGAAGTAGCTAATGCTCCTGACCTGTGACCAGAGACTGCCCCTCCTCCACGCCTTCCCTTCCTTGTGGCAGTCCACCCCTCCCCCCAGCCCCACCCCATTCCTTTGTGGTGGTTTCATGCCCTTCAGGCTATCTCACCTGAGGAAACCTGGCCTCTGCCCACTTTCCCACCTGGCCTCGGGAGAGCTCACAGTCTATCTTCACACGAAGCCCGATGGGCCCTTCGTGGATATCATGCTCATTTGCATTCCCTGTTAATCTCTCTACAACGTAATTCCCTTTCCTAGGGCTGTCCAGACATGTGAATGTCTGCCACCTGCTAGGTCCTGCATCCATGATTGCCACCTGCTTGCTATTTCCCAGGATCCTTCAACCAGGAGTTCCGTAGTCAATTTGGTCTCTGGGGAGCCCGTCCCTGTGGCAAATTTTTGTTGTAGTGCTTGGTGAACTGTTCTCTGCTGTTTCTGATCAGCCCCTGGGGAGAGAAGGGTCCAGTGAGATCCGTGAAACTGGCATTGTTCAGGCCCAGGAGAAGGAAGCTCACTACTTCATGCAGCCTGCCCCGGGGGTGGCCGGTCGAGCCTGACACAGTCTGTGGAGGAGCCGCAGTGGAAACTTACCGGCCTCAGACGGAGGAGGGTGTGGGGGTGCTGAGAGGGCAATGCCGACGTGGCCTCCCAGTCGGTGCCCAAAGGGCAGAGCAAGCAGAGGAGGCCGGCTGATGCCCCTCCCAAGTAAGCCACGCCCCTCCTCCCCCAGGAGCTGAGGTTGCTTCCCCTGAGAGCTAGGATCAAACAAAGCCGGAAAGGAGGAAGTGTGAGCCTTGGACCCAGTGACACACTTCATCTGGGGCAAATCAGCTGTCACTCATGGAGGCCTCTGTCCTGCTTCCCAGGCAGGACTGTCCCGCCCTGGCCATCTAGTCCTCACACTGACCCCATCCCTCCACCTTCCCTCCTCCAGCCCGACGCTGCCTGTGGGTGGTGTTGAAGGCCGCAGACTGTGGGAGGGGTAGGCAGAGCCCAGCACCTGGGGCGTGGCTGCTGCCAGCTGGTGAGGGATTCCCACCACTCTGAACTCTGCCTGCTGGCAGCTGGGCTCCATATCCGTGGGTTTCTCACCTCCAGAGGCTTTTTTCGTTCAAGAAAGGGGCTCCCTATGTAGCTCAGGCTAGACTGAAACACCATGTAGACCACTTTGGCATCAACAGCAACGCTCTTGCTTCCCGGCATCTCAAGTGCTGGGATTATAGGCATATGCTCCATCTTGCTGCCACCCATCACCTTTCAAATTTGTTGGGATTGTCTGACTGTCCTGCTGCTGCCCACTCCCCAGGACAGTCAGCTGTGTCCTGGACACCCTCAGCTAGGCAGCTTGCCCTGCTGTCCCCCTATGCACACCCCTTTCTCCTGCCTCCCTGTTCAGGGACAGATCTCTGTGAGTTCAAGGCCAGCCTGGTCTACAAGAGCTAGTTCCAGGACAGCCTCCAAAGCCACAGAGAAACCCTGTCCGAAAAAACCAAAAAAGGAAAAAGGAAAAAACATAACAAAATAAAACAAAAAAACAAACAAGGTAAAAACTGCAGGAGAAAAATGAAATGAGGAGCTAGGGAGATGATTTAGAAGTCAAGAGGCTGTTCTCCCAGAGGACCCAGGTTCAATTCCCAGCACCCACTTGGTGGCTCACAATGTCTGTAACTCCAGTTCCTGGGAATTTGATACCTTTTCTGGACTCTCAGAACTTCAGGAGTACAGGCATGCATGCAGGTGAAACACCCATACATGTTAAATTAAAGAAAAATAAAATAAAATAAAAAAACAACCTTCAGGTTTTTGTCCATGCATTAATTTGTTTTAGTGTTTGGAAATATGGTCTCATGTATCCCAGGCTGGCCTCAAAATCTCTATAGTCACCTTGAACCTCTGATCCTCCTGCCTCTCTCTCAGGAGTGCTAGGATTGCAGTCATGAACCACCATCCCTGGTTTATGGTTTGTGTCATGCTGGGGACCACACCCAAGACTTAGGTTTGTGCATGCTAGGCAAATACAATGTTAACTCAGTCACATAACCAGCTAAAGGGATCGTCCAAAAAAAAAAATGTTTTTCTGTTGAATTTTGCCATCTGTGCTGCAAGCATGATGGTTTCTGGTATATTCCATAACATGGATGTTTTTGAGGTGTGTCTGTCAGGAGTCCTGGAGATGTTACTGGAAATCCCTGATCCTGACCATGCAGCCTCTTAGGGGTGCTTCCTTGTCCATGAACTGGGGCATTAACAGTACCACTCTGAGGGTCTCATACCCTTACACACCATCTCTCCAGCCCAACACTGTCTCCTTCCTTCCTTCCTTCTTTCCTTCCTTCCTTCCTTCCTTCCTTCTTTCCTTCCTTCCTTCCTTCCTTCCTTCCTTCGTCCCTCCCTTTCTCTTTTTCGAGACAGGGTTTCTCTGTGTAGCTCTGGAGCCTATCCTGGCACTCACTCTGGAGACCAGGCTGGCCTTGAACTCACAGAGATCCGCTTGCCTCTGCCCGGCCTCTTTACACCCTTTCAGTAGTTCAGGCAGACCGGATATTTACTATGCCCTCAAAGATGACCTTGAACGGGCTGGGGAGATGGCTCTGTTCTTTCAGAGGACACAGGTTCAATTCCCAGCACCCACATGGCAGTTCACAACTGTCTGTAATCCTGTAATCCGATACCCTTACATACGTGCAGACAGAACACCAATGCACATAAAATTTAAAAAGAAAGGATGACCTTGACTCTAGGTCCTCCTGCCTCCGCTTCTGGCGATGTCTGGCATGCATAGGCTTGCTTCACCATCAGCTGATGCCTTCCGAAGGTTATTCCAGCTGTGTAGGCAGCAGCAGGCCCTACTGCAGGGGCAGGCACACGCTAGTGAGGTCATACTCCAAGTACTTGGGTGTGGCCTCAGGTGAGAGGGACCCTGGAACAGGGCTGCGGGAAAATTCTGGGCTTCCAAGCAACTCCCGTTCGTCCTTTGTCCTGAGTCCTGGTTCCTAGGACTCATTCTGGAATTTACTGGTTCTCCTTCCCTGGCAGGTAAGAGTTTGGGCCAGTGGGGGCTAAATCTCCAGCTGTAGGTCTTCTCCCAAGAGAGCATTCCTGCCACAGGTGGAAAAGTTCATGGCTGTGTCACTCTTTTGCGATGTTTTTCTCTCTGCCCTTTGCTGCAGTGGACGTGCAGGAGGAGCTATCAGCCCGCCCTAGGCTTAGAGTAGCCAGAGAACCTTGGCTCCCAGGTACCAGTGCTCTTTGGTGGGCTTATGTCGCCCCCTAGTGGCTATGCGCCACACTTGCCTTGACGGAGTCCAGGGTCCTCAGCTGCGGATTGCAGGCCAGCCTCCCAGGATCTCCAAGCGGGGAAAATTCATGTTCTTCAAAGGGTGTCCTGGAGCACGTCACCACTTCATTAGCTTCTCTCCCAGTTTCTGTGTATTTGCTTTCATTCATATATATTTTGCTTTGGTGCTGGGGATGGAAGCCTGGGTCTCAAGTACATGCTTAATGTTCTCAATGGGCTAGACCCCCAGCCACCTCTATATTTAAAACAGGCTCTCAACCGGGTGGTTGTGGCGCACGGCTTTAATCCCAGCACTCGGGAGGCAGAGGCAGGCGGATCTCTGTGAGTTCGAAGTCAGCCTGGTCTCCAGAGCGAGTGCCAGGACAGCCAAGGCTACACAGAGAAACCCTGTCTTGAAAACAAAACAAACAAACAAAAGACAGGGCTTCATGTATCTCTGTGTTTGAGCACTAGAAACAAAATCCCACAATATAGGAGGTGGAGATGGGGATTTGAAGTGAAAGCAACCCTGGACTACATAGGTAGTTCAAAAGGAAAACAACCAACCCCCAAACAAAAAGATGCAAGAAAGGAAAACATGTTTAATTTGTTCTATGTGCATCTTAGAAGTTACAAAGCATAAATGTGATTTTTCCCCTATTTTACATTTTATAATTACTTGTGTACGCATGTGTGCACAAATGTGTATTCGTGGCATACCAGAGGACAACTTATGGTAAATGGTTCTCTCCAACTTGGGTCCCAGGGATAGAACTCGGGTCATTAGGCTTGGTGGCAAGCCCCTTTACCAGCTGAGTCATCTTGCCAGCCCTAAAGTGAATTTCTTTAACAGGAAGAATACTCTAGGTGCAGCCTCATGGAGGCAGTGGTTATGGGCAGCCTGCTTTGGGGCCTAAGGTGGGCCTGAGAGGTACAGATGGGAGACCAAAGGGGTACGCCCTTCTCTGGCCTCATCCTGGAGAGAGGGGAGGGGAGGGAGGGGAAGAGAGAGAAGAGAGAACTTGGGCAGGCCTCAGCCCCAGTGAAGGCTGTAGGAAGGAGGTTCAGTACCACCCTTGCTCCCTAGTAAATCCAAGGCACTTAATTCATGCCTATGGGCTGCTCATAAAAGCACACAGGAGGACCTGGAAGCAGGGGGAGGCTTCTGGCCACCATCCTACTCATCCGATTTCAGCTCCTCTTCAGCAGGTGTTCCAGAGACAGGAAGGCTGGTGGCCAACGCATCGTGTTCCTATGCATTTATGTTTTTTTGTTTTCAATATAGCAGAGGCTGGTCTGGGATTTTACAAAGACTGGGCAGGCCTCAAGCTTCTGGTAGTTCTCCCAAGCAATAAGATCCATAGATGTGGACTGCCAAACCCAGCCACTTAAAACAAACCGTAGCATTTCACTGTGTAGCTCTGGCTGCCTTCAAATGCAGAGATCTGCTTGCTTTTGCTTCCCAAGTGCTGGGATTAAAGGCATGTGCCACTACACCTGACTAAAGATTTTTTTTTTAAATGTGTGTGTGTGTGTGTGTGTGTGTGTGAGTGTGTGCCTGCTTCAGTGTAAGTGCACTGTGTGTATGCAGCCTGAAGAGGCCAGTAGAGGGCATCAGATCTCATGGAATTGGGAGTTAAAGTTCAGGCACTTAGGAGCCTCCATGAAGGTGCTGGGAAATGAATCCTGGTCTTTCACAAGAGCAGCAAGTACTCTTAACCACTGAGCCATTTCTCCAGCCCCTGAGTTGCATTCCCCATGCCCCAGACAGGGTTTTGTTGTGTAGCCTTGGATGCCCTGGAACTAGCCTTGTGGACTAGGTTGGCCTTAAGCTCACAGAGATCCTCCTGCCTCTGTGCCCAGCCCCAGAATACATTTCTAAATTTTGAAAATACACTTTCTACAGTAACTGGGCAGGCACACCTCAAACAGCTCAGCTCAATGTGCTAAGCTGGTCTCAGTACCTTCTGCTGGGCAGTTAAGCATCATGGACAAAGACACAGCCGAGACCTGTCTCCACAAAAAGGTCAGGGCCAGCACCAGAGAGGGACCAGGGTCCCAGTCTCATGGTGAGAGGCCTTCTGGTTGGCAGTGACAGGAGGGTGCTGTGTACCAGGGGTGAGCCCCCGTGTCTCAGGCCCTTGTGTCTAGACACTGTGCACTGAGCAATGCGTTGGTGTCCAGTGAGGCTCAAAAGGAAAGGAAGTATGCAGGGAGGGCTAGGTGGGGAAACCAAGTCACGGGAGGGCTGGCCAGGGGGTTCTCAGCAGCACCCTGCAGCACTTCTCTTCATATGGCAGGGCTTGCAGAAGAGGCGGTCATTCAGCGGGTAGCAGCCTTGGTCGGTGGGCTCCACAGACAGGAGGACACTGCAATCCTGGGGACACAGAAGCACACATGGTCTAAGCCAGCACAGAGCCTTCCCCGGGGACACTCAGCTCACCCCCATCCTCTTCATTATTTATCTATTTTTATTTCATGGACATTGGTGGGGTTGTTAGTTTTTATTTTTTTATTTATTTATTTTTTTTCGAGACAGGGTTTCTCTGTGGCTTTGGAGGCTGTCCTGGAACTCGCTCTTGTAGACCAGGCTGGTCTCAAACTCACAGAGATCCGCCTGCCACTGCCTCCCGAGTGCTGGGATTAAAGGCGTGCACCACCAACGCCAGGAGACATTGGTGTTTTTGCTCGAATGTGTGAGGGTCTCAGATCCCCTGGAACTGGAGTTACAGACAGTTGTGAGCCGTCCTGTGGTACTGGCCATTGAACCTGGGTCCTCTGGGAGAAAGAACAGCCAGGGCTCTTAACCACTGAGCCATCTCTCCACCTTAAACTGACCCCCTAAAAATGAAACAAAACAGAACAAAGCCCACAGATGAAGAACCCAATCCACAGCAGTGTGGAACAGAACTGTTTCTCCCATTAGGAAGTGTGTCCACGTCCTCCCCATGGCATCCCCCACTATCCCTGCTGACTCTATGGTCTACAATGTTTATTACCATTGTTGGAGGGGGTGACAATATTTTTATAAGTGGAAAGTGCTTTTAATTATAAAAAACTGCCACATGGGGGCTGGAGAGATGGCTCAGAGGTTAAGAGCACTGAGTCCTCTTCCAGAGGTCCTGAGTTCAATTCCCAGCAACCACATGGTGGCTCACAACCATCCATTATGAGATCTGGTGCCCTCTTCTGGTGTGCAGATATACATGGAAGCAGAATGTTGTATACACAATAAATAAATAAACTCTTTAAAAAAAAAAACTGTCACATGTATTGCCTTATTAAATCCTAATGACAGTCTTGGGAGATGGCTTATTGTCCCCATTTAAGTTGAGAAAGCTGAAGCTGGGCGTGGTGGTTTACACATGTCATTTCCCAGTACTGAGAGGCTGAGGTGGGAAGATGGAGAGTTCAGACCAGCCTTGGATATGTAGAGAGATTCTGTCTCAAAACAAACAAAACCAAGCTGGGTATAGGATCGGGAGTTCAAAGTCATCCTTGGTTACACGGTTTGAAGCTAGCTTCAGCTTTAAGAGTTTGTCTCAAAGTGAAGGGGTCTGGAGGGATGGCTCAGCGGTTAAGAGCACTGCTGGCTGTTCTTCCAGAGGACCTGAATTCAATTCCCAGAACCCACATGGAAGTTCACAACTGTCTGTAACTCCAGTTCCAGAGGACCTGACACATCCGGCAAAACACCAATGCATATAAAAATCAGTAAATAATAATAAAAAAGGACACCGTTTGCCGGGCCTTGGTGGCACACGCCTTTAATCCCAGACTCAAGAGGCAGAGGCAGGAGGATCTCTGTGAGTTCGAGGCCAGCCTGGTCTACAGGGTGAGTTCTAGGACAGACAGGGTTACACAGAGAAACCCTGTCTTGAATGAAAAACCAAACACAACCAAAACAATGACAACGAAAGGATAGGGCTTAATTCAGCCTAGGCTTGAGCCACCGCCCTTCTGTTGAAATGTAGCTTCCTGGAGTCCAAATCCTGACTGACGAGGCAACTTTGGTCAAAGTGAGCATGGACAGGAAGTGGGGGTTATTTGCTCAGGCAGGCTTTAGGAACACCTGGTACTGGTGGACTCTATCTATCAGGGCTCTGGGACCAATGACAGCCCTTGATCTTCCTCGAAGGTCTTTCAGGGTGTGTTTGCAGCTGCAGACCTTGAACCCTAACTGAGAAAGTCAGATTACACAGGAAGCAATCAACTTCTCTCCCGAGGTCCTCTTGGCTCCCCATTATCTCTTCAAATAAAGACAAGTGGATAAAAGCTTGCAATTACTCATTGGCTGATTGAGAGATCCTGTTCTGGGACTCTCTGAGAAGGTGACTCACAGAAAAACTACCACCAGTTGTCTTCATCGGAGCTACAGGGGTGGCAGAGGAGGGGGGAGTGAGCAGAGGCATGGAGCCTCATCTCGGGACCAAGTACAACACCTGCAGGGTCCAGGTAGAAGGAAAGAGTGCAGTTCCAAGATAAAGACCTTCAGGATGGAGCCTAGTTGTGGTGGTACACATCTTAAATCCCAGCACCCAGGAGGCAGGGGCAGCCCCGAGTTCAAGGCCAGCCTGGTTTATAGAGTCAGTTCCAGGACAGTTAAGGCTACCCAAAGAAACTCTGTCAAGAAAAACAAAAACAAACAAAAAAGAACTTCAAGATGGCGAAAGAGGTCATGGGCAGGGCTGGGAGTGGGCTGCAGAGATGGCTCAGTGGTTAAGCGCACTGGTTGCTCTTTCAGAGGACCAGGTTCAATTTCTAGCACTCATATGACAGTCAACAACTGTAACTCCAGTTCCAGCAGACCCAATGCCCTCTTCTGCCATCTGCCTGTATGTACAGGGTGCGCAGACAAAATATCCCATACACATAAAATTATAATTTTTTTCCCAAAGAGGTCTTTGAACAGGGTGGTGGTGGCACACAGCTTTAATCCCAGCACCCAGAAGGCAGAGGCAGGCAGAGCTCTCGAGTTTGAGGCCAGCCTGGTCTACAGAGTGAGTTCCAGGGCAGCCAGGGCCACACAGAGAAACCCTGTCTTGAAAAACAAAAACAAAAACAGAAACAGAAACGAGGTCTTGATTTGGAGAGATGGTTCAGGAGTTTAGATTTAGAGCACTTGTCTCTCTTGTTTGTTTCCCAGCTCCCACATGGTGACTCACAAACACCCATACCTCCAGGGCTGGTGGGGTCAGGGCCCTCTGAAGGTCTCCACAGGCACCAAACAAACATGTGGTACACATAATGGTGCATTCTTCTTGCACAGACATACATGCAGGTAAAACACACACACACACACACACACACACACACACACACACACACACACACACACACTATGCAACTGGCAAACCCATCGGGTTTCATGTAATAGGCTAAATACCCCTCCTCTATAAAAGTACCTTCTTCCCTTCTCTCCCTCAGAAAGAGTCTTAATCCGTGTTCTGGGCTGGCCTCAAGCTCAGGTTCTTCTGCCTCAGCCTCCCCAGGGCTGGGATTACAGTCATGGGTACAAGAATTGTTTTCGGCCGGACATCGGTGGCACATGCCTTTAATCCCAGCACTCGGGAGGCAGAGGCAGGCGGATCTCTGTGAGTTCCGAGAGCCAGGATAGGCTCCAAAGCTACACAGAGAAACCCTGTCTCGAAAAACAAAAAACAAACAAAAGAATTGTTTTCATTTTCCTACCTCCTGGTTAGAGACTTATCACTGCCTTTTCCCTCTAATCCCATTTAAATTTTTTTATTGTTGTTTTTTGTTTTTCGAGACATGGTTTCTCTGTGTAGTTTTGGAGCCTATCCTGGCACTCACTCTGGAGACCAGGCTGGCCTCGAACTCACAGAGATCCGCCTGCCTCTGCCTCCCGAGTGCTGGGATTAAAGGCGTGCGGCACCAACACCCGGCTCCATTTACTTTTTTATTACATTGTAATTTATTCATTGTGCACATACATGTGGCCATGCCTGTGTCACAGCAGACAGTTTGGATAAGAGGGCAGCTTGCAGAAGTCTGTTCTTTCATTCCACTATCTGGTAGCCAGGCTTGGTGACAAGCATCTTCACCCACTGAGCCATCTCACTGGCCCCTAAAACCCATCTTTCTTACACGCTTTTGCTGACACCTACAAAGGTTTAAGCCTGCCCAGGGTTCCTTTCTCTCTGTCTATGGTAGTCAAAACCTGTTCCATGAGACCAGCTGTGATGGTGCACATTTTACTCTCAGCACCAGGAAGGCAGAGACAGGGGCATCTCTATGAGTTTGAGGTCAGCCTGGACCTTGTAGTGACTTCTAGAACAGCTAGGGCTACACAGTGAGACCCTGTCAAGGTGGGGTGAGGTGGGGAGACAGTGCTGGATGGACAGACCTGTTTCTTGGGTTCTGTCTTCTGGCTCCAGGGGCCGTCAATCCTAGCTCATCAGCTTCCAGCCTGGGACAGGCTCGGAAGGCTTGTTAGCATCAACTGTCAATGTCTCCCAGCTCAGAGTTACCTGCAGGAGTCTGAACGGGGGACGGCCCCAAGCAGATTGGCCTGTGGCATGTCTGTGGGGCATTCTCTTGATTGCTAATCGATGTACGAGGTCCTGAGCAGATGCCAGAGAGAGACAGGGTTCCACCCGGTAAGCAGCATTCCTCCCTAGTTTCTGCTCCAGGTTCCCGCCTTAACAATGGACTGTAAACTGAGCATTGGTGGCGCAAGCCTTTAATCCCAGCACTCGGGAGGCAGAGGAAGGTGGATCTCTGTGAGTTCGAGACCAGCCTGGTCTACAAGAGCTAGTTCCAGAACAGCTCCGAAGCCACAGAGAAACCCTGTCTTAAAACCCAAAAAAAAAAAAACCAAAAAACAAAAACAAAAAACAAACAAACAAAAAAAACAATGGACTGTAACCTGCACAATAAGTCTTTTCCTCAATCAATTTGCTTTTGAGTGTGGCATATGTCACAGCAATAGACAATGACCCATGCCAGGCCAACCAGGAACCTTCTTGGGAAGTATGTCCCCCCCACAATGGGGTCTACTCTCATTCTCTTGGAACTTCTTTTGTTTGTTTGTTTTTCGAGACAGGGTTTCTTTTTAGCTTTGGAGCCTGCCCTGGAACTGGCTCTGTAGACCAGGCTGGCCTCAGACTCACAGAGCCCCGCCTGCCTCTAATCCCAAGTGCATGTGCCACCACCGCCCGGCAAAGTAGCACTTATACTAGGAGTGGGGTTCCAATACCTTAACCACTCGGCCATCCTGATGGCAACTCTCTTGGGGCTTCTAATGCTATAAACCTGAGCTATCTGTGCCCATGTGCTGTGGCAGCCCTCAGAAAAGAAAGTAAAGGCAGGACCAGGAGGTAAAGCGATGGCCTTGCCTCGGGGCTATCACTTGCTACCCATGCTGTCACCACCATGAGTCAACACAGTCTCTTTCCATAGCAAGTGATACGAGCTCACCCGGAACTCTGATGGAGCCCTGTGTGTTCGTACCCTCTTTTCCTGGCCTCTCCTGAGGGCAGTGAGCGGGGAAGGCTGCCCATGGCCACAGCATTTTAAGACACTTTAACGCTACCTACCTCACATCGGTAACAGTTTTCATGGAAGTTCCTTCCCATGCACTCAATCTTGAAGGTATCCTTCCCATCTCGGGGGATGATGGGGTTCTCACAAATGCTGCACATGGGGGCAAATTTCCTAGAGGGAGGGGAAGCACAGATCAGGAATGTCAGCCGTTCACTCACAACAAAATCAGCTGGCAGAAATGGGGTGGTAGCAGTTCACCTCCCAGAGCGCCCCCCCCCCGTTGCTAGGTGACAGAATCTGCAGGGACAGCCGCAGATGTCTACCCTTTCTGGCAGAGGTGGGAGGAGGGATTGGTGCAATGAATCCAGCTTCCCAGAGTGCAATTAGCTAAGAACAGTAATTGACTGGGAAGTGTTGGCCCTGAGAGGAGTGTTGGTGGGCCTGGCCATCCATTATCTTCTGCTTAGCTCAATTTAAAATTTTTGGGGGCATATTTATTTAGTTGTATGTGGAGGTCCAAGGACAACATGCAGGAGTTAGTCGTCTCCTTCCACCTTGTGGGTCCCAGGGATTGAACTTGGGTCATCAGGCTTGGTGGCAAGCCCTTTTAGCCACTGAGCCCTCTTGTAAGCCTCGTTTACTTATTTTTTGAGACAGGGTCTTACAGTATAGTCCTGGCTGGCCTGAAACTTGCTATATAGAACAGGCTGACCTGGAGTTCACAGAGATCTGCCTGCCTCTGCCTTCTGAGTGCTGCTGTTTGCTTATTTTTTGGGACAGGGCTTACTCTACACTCCAGGCTAACCTCAGATGGGCAGCACCAATCCTCCTCCCTCTGCCTTCACAGGCATGGACCACCATGCCCCATCTCTTTCTTTTCAGACAGGAGGACAAAGCATGAGTCGCCCTTATGTCTGTATCCCCAGTCCTCCCTCCAGATCCCAGGGGAGGGGACAAGTCAAGTCCTTTTGATTTTTGTGAGACAGGGTGTCACATAGCCAAGGCTGGCCTCGAACTTGCTAGGGTAACCAAGACAACTTTAAGTTTCTGACCCTCTTGCTTCTACCTCTGGAGTGTCGGAATTCAGGTGTGTGTCAGCATGGCATGTTTATGCGGTCCTAGGAGTCAAACCCAGGGCTTTGTATAGACTAGGCAGGTACTCTACCGACTGAGCCACACCCCCAGCTCCCAACTCAACTCCTTAAATGGAAGCTTCACTGCACCTTGGTTACTGTATCCCTCAGTTTCTACTTCTGGTAAAATGTAGTCTTTCACTGTACTTCCTGGGCATAAAAAGTCTGAGGACTGCACGGAGTATGTCAGATGTGAGCCCGGCAGAGTGCGGAAACTCCAAGGGCAATTGCCTCTAGCAGATGCCCATGACTTATGTGGGGGACCTAACAGGAAGATGGCTTCTCTCAGCACAGGAGCCACAGGAGCTGTAGGAAGTGTTGGTCTGGGCGCCAGCCCTGCCACTAGACCAGAGTCCTGCCCCGTCCTCCCCTCTCCCCCAGACCCGCCCGGTCCTCCCCTTCCCCCCAGCCCTGCCTCGTCCTCCCCTCTCCTCCAGCCCTGCCCGGTCCTCCCCTCTCCCCCTCCCCCTGCTCGTCCTCCCCTCTCCCCCAGCCCCGCCCGGTCCTCCCCTCTCCCCCAGCCCAGGTCTGCTTTCCCACCTGTAGAAGTCATCCAGGCAGTACACCTGGTTCTGGTCGTCCAGCGCGAATCTCTCATCTCCGATGCACCGGGCACAGGTCACGCAGGTGAAGCAGGGTGGGTGGAAGGCCTTGCCCAGGGCCCGAATGACATGGTCTCGGACCACCTCTCCACACTTGCCACACTTCTCCAGAGTGTCCTGGGGCAGAGAGCACTGTTTCAGACAACCCACAGACATGCCTATCCCGAGCCATGAGGTCTCCAGTCCCCTTATCCCCCTGTCCATCCCTCCCTCCCTCGTTTCTTGTTTTCAGTACTAGGGACTGAATTCAGGGCCTGTGTGCCGGGTAGATACTCTGCCACTGAATTACATGTTCAGCCTAAGAATTACCTTCTTAATAATTTTTCAAAAGCCCCTCACCACCCCCCTTTTTCTTTACGATAGTTTTCCGACTGGGTATCATGCTACCCAGGTTGGACTCAAAATCAACGTGTAGCTAAGGATGAATGAGCTTGAACTCTTTTTTTTTTTTTTTTTTTTTTGGTTTTTAGACACAGGATTTTTTTGTGGCTTTGGAGGCTGTCCTGGAACTAGCTCTTGTAGACCAGGCTGGTCTCGAACTCACAGACCCCCGCCTGCCTCTGCCTTCTGAGTGCTGGGGTTAAAGGCGTGCGCCACCAACACCCGGCTTGAGCTTGAACTCTTGAACCTCCGGCCTTCACCCACCAAGTATTTGGATTTCAGGTGTATGCTATCATACTCAGCCCCCTTAACAATTCTTTTTGTTTGTTTGTTTTTCCAAGACAGAGTTTTTCTGTGTAACAGTCCTGGCTGTCCTGGAAATTTTTTTATAGACTAGGCTGTCCTGAAACTCACAGAGATCCTCCTGCCTCTGCCTCCAAGTGCAAGGATTAAAGGTATGCACCCCGGGCTGGAGAGATGGCTCAGTGGTTAAGAGCACTGCTCTTCCAAAGGTCCTGAGTTCAATTCCCAGCAACCACATGGTGGCTCCCAACCATCTGTAATGGTATTTGGTGCCCTCTTCTGGCCTGCAGGCATACACCCAGAGAGAATACTGTACACATAATAAATAGATTTTAAAAAAAGGTATGCACCCCTAAGCCTGACTCTCTCCTTCTCTTTTATTTGGGGGGTGGGGAAGGTGCTAACAAATTCTTACGTGTTCAACACAACTATTGATTGTTTGGAGACAGGGTGTTGCTATGTAGCCCAAGCTCCTGAACTCTTCATCTTCCTGCCTCAGCTTCCTGAATGCTGGGAATCCATGGACACCACCATACCTGGCTCATTACTCAGGTATGGAGGAAGGATGGTCAGGAGGTCAAGATCACCCTATGTTGCAGTCTCAAAACCCCACAGACAAGGCCAGGTGCGGTGGCGGCAGGTGGATCTCTGTGAGTTCGAGGCCATCCTGGTCTATAGAGAGTTCCAAGATAGCCAGGGCTACACAGAGAAATCCTGTCTTGAAAAAAACAAGCAAACAAAAGCCTGAAAAGAACCTGGAAAAGGCAAGGGAATGTTTCCTTTCCCAGAGTCTGCAGACCGAGAGGTGGAGGCACCTTGATTTGGATCCAATGACCCCACAACTAAGAGAGAAATGTGGATTGCTTGAAGCCATTAAGTTCAGTTGGTGGCTTCAAGTTGGTTCAGTTGCATATTGAATGCTCTCCGTCAGTCTACCAGGCCCATGCTCCAGGGGGCGCTGTTGGGAGGAGGTGGAGTCTTTAGGAGGCGGGGCCTAATGGAGATCTGTGTTACTGGGGGTGTGGCATGGTCCCTTCCTCTTGTTTGCTGGCCACGAGGAGAACCACTTCCTCCAGCCAGAGGTCCCTGCCACCACAGGCTCAGATTGGCACTGTAACCTCTCAACCAAATAAATCTTTTTTTCTTTTCCGTCGCTGGGAAGCGGACACAACTATTACAGCAGCCACAGGAACAGAATCCTGCTCCGGTCAGTTTTCGTTTTTTTCTTTTCCGTCGCTGGGAAGCGGACACAACTATTACAGCAGCCATAGGAACAGAATCCTGCTCCGGTCAGTTCTTCTTTCTGACTCTCAGCTGGGTTCACAGCGCCCATTCTCTTAGGAGGAAGTACCTGGTAGCAGGGCTCGCACAGGGGGCGCCCATCCTTCTGATAGAATCTCTGCCCAGCCAGCTGACGGCGGCAGGTGCGACAGGTGAAGCACTGGGCATGGTACTGCCTCTTCATGGCCTCAACAGCCAGCTCTCGAGGAGACACAGGCTTGTGACAGAAGCCGCAGACATCTGGGGTAGGGGAGACACAGGCTGTCACCAGCCCACGAAGGCAGTGCCCAGTCACCACCCAGAATATGATGCCCAGTGTGCCCAGGGCCCAGTCTCAAAGCCGTCCTCAACTGACAAATACAGAGGGTCATGATAGGCACTGGGAAGGAAGGTGAATAGCATTTGGGAAGCTAAAATCGAAGACACGGTATTGGGCACCGTGATGCACTATGTGGTGTCGCCCTGGTCGTCCTGGAACTCACTGTGTAGACCAGACTGACATCGAACTTCCAGAGATTTGCCAGCCTCTATGCCCGGCTACTGATGCACATCTTTAATCCCAGGCCAGCCTGGTCTACACAGCAAGACAAAACACAAACTAAGAAGCAGTGTTGGCATGTAGCCTCTCATCTCTAAAAGAGTGGAGGGGGTCTGTAGTGATACCAACACCCAGATGGTCCTGATTCAAGACAAGAATTCTAAGAGAGGAGCTAAGATGGCTCATCGGTTAAAAACACACGCTGCTTTACACAGGACCTGAGTTCAATCCCCCCAACCCACATCAGTCAGCTCACAACTGCCTGTAACTCCAGGGATCCAATGCCCTCTTCTGGACTCTGAGGGTAGTGCACCCATGTGTACATACAGATGTGCACACGTGCACACACACAAAATTAAAAGTAATACAAATAGTCAGGCTTCACGGTGCACACTTTGTTTTTGAGATTTATTTCATTTACTATGTATAGTATTCTGTCTGCATGTTTGCCTGCAGGCCAGAAGATGGCACTAGATCTCATTATAGATGGTTGTGAGCCACCATGTTGTCCCTGGGATTTGAACTCAGGACCTCTGGAAGAGTAGTCAATGCTCATAATCTCTGAGCCATCTCTCCTATGGTTTTTTAATCCCAGTACTTGGGAGGCATAGGCAGGCAAATCTCTGAGTTCGAGGATAGCCTGGTCTACAGAGTGAATTCCAGGAAAGCCAGGGCTACACAGAGAAACCCTGTCTTGAAAAGCCAATAATAATAATAATAATAACAATAGTAACAAACTTATCTGGAGACCAGGCTGGTCTCAAACTCAGAGGTCTTACTTCTGTCTTTTGAGTGCTAGGATTAAAGGCATGCACTATCATGCCTGGCTAAAATAAATCTTAAGAAAAAAAAAAAAAGATCCAGAAAGTCTGATGTTTGGTGTGGTGGTTTACACCTGTAATCCCAGAGTCCTGAAGACTAACGAAGGTAGACAGAGATCCAGGCTAGCCTGAGCTATATAGTAAGAATGTACCTTAAAAAAACAAAACAAACAAAAACCCCCTTTTTTGTGTATGTGTGTGACAAAATCTACCGTAATTCGAAAAATAAATGACACACTTAGGAAAACAGTTGCCCTTGTGTCTTGCTCTGTGACCCAGGAAAAAGGATACTGCATTAGACTCAACGGTGTCTTCAGTGCCTGGGGCAGGACCTAAGGAAGCAGGTCACAGCTCAATTACACAAGGCACAGAGTGCTGTAGAGGCTTCTAGAAACAACTCAGCCCTGCTGGTGGGAGCACGTAGGCTGGGATGAGTAAGGAAGGTGATTTGACAAAAATACAAAATCAAAAACAGCAGCCTTTTTTTTTTTTAGGGTACTTCCTCTTCTAGGAATTTACCCGAGAAAACCCCACAGCTAGGTGAATCAGCTCCATGCAGTTACGGCAAGAAACCACCTACAAATCCATCAGGAGGAGGCTGTGTAACCCACCACACCTATGTTCCTACTGGGGACTGCCACACAGCCTTAAAAAAAGGTCAAAGAGCTGCTGCACCTGGAGATAGGAAACCCACTCAGAGACTCACTGGGGAAGCCAACAATGAGAACGGCCCTGTGGCTGCTACAGACAGGATCCCTGGTCCCAAAGCTCAAAGGACAAAATTAGAAACTGGTGTGTGTGGCCAGGCAGCTGGTGGTGCATGCCTTTAGTCCCAGCACTCGGGAGGCAGAGGCAGGTGGATCTCTGTGAGTTTGAGACCAGCCTGGCCTAAAAGAGCTAGTTCCTAATTCCAGGACAGCCTCCAAAGCCACAGGGAAACCCTGTCTCAAAAAAAAAAAAAAAAAAAAAAAAAGAAAGAAAAGAAAAGAAAAGACACTGGTCACTGGTGTGTGTGTTTGGGGGGTGGGGAAAGCATGGAAAAGCATGGTATCATTGTGTACCCCTAGCTGGCATGGAATTTATGGAACTTGCAGTATAGACCAGGCTGGCCTCAAACTCAGATATCCTCCTGTCTTTGCATCATAAATGCTGGGATTAAAGGTGTGTATCACCATGCCTGGTTGGCTGTTTTTCAGACAAAGTCTCCTGTAGCTCAGGGTAGCCCCCAATTTACTATGTAGCTGAGGATGACTTTAAACTTCTTGATT